AGGAGTGCAGCACTTAGTGCATGGTCTCCAGGCATAGCTCTGCTGCTAAGGCATTCAGAACACTGGCACAGAAGAAGCTCTGCTCTGAACAGGGAGAGGAAGGAGCCCTGCAGTCCTCACCAGGCTGGGCCTTTGCCTTGGGGGAAGTCCTCACCTGCCAGTCTAGGATCTCTGGCTTCCCGCTGAAAAGATTGTGGCAGTAATGGCAGTTGAGGTGGATCCCACCTTCCGGGCTGGTGCGCTGCAGGAGACAGAGACAGCTCATGGAGGGACAGGCATACAGAGAGCACCTGCTTCACACTGCCACCACCTCCTGCCACCTTCTCACAGCAGTCCGTCTGCCCTTGCTCAAACCTGCACTTGCTGCCACTGTCAGTGACTCACAGTCAATCCACCAGATCATGTCTCAAGCTCCTGGTTCTTGAGTAATTTCACTTCAGTGAAAATTCTTGAGTAATTTCAGTGTATTTGGTCCAGCTCTTCTCAGGAGAGCAAGCTTTCAAGCTGCCACCCCTCTGGATTTGAAAACATTAAGAGACTGGATCCACTACCTCTTTGGAGAATTTCTCTAAAAGATCTTAAGCACAGGTGCCTGGTTCCTATTTTCAAAGTAAAGCAACTTCAGAATTCAAGCAGCCGTTCTCATCCCACCTTCCTCTGCTAGATTAAACAGCCATTTAGCACTGGGTGTCTTGTCCACAAAGATATATTTATTAATAAAGTAATTTTAGTTTTCACTCTGATACTTTCAGACAAGGTGCTCTGCAAGCACCTTAGTACATGCCCTTTTCTAGACCAAATGTAAATCTTTTTTTCAGCATACTTCCAATTTCTCTTCAGCACTGACAATAAAGTAATTGGATGAACATCCTTCTTATCCATGCAACATTCTAGGTAGCTATTTTGCATCCTATCCCCTGAACTTTAACTCCCTGTTCCTCTGCTTGTACTTGCAATAACTAATCCTTCCCTCTGTGGCTGTAAACTGAAACGCTCATACTGAATGGCTTACCTGCTGTAATCCCAGAGCCTTTTCAAAATCATTACTTTCCCAGGGCAAAAATCACCACATTACTTGATGAAGGCTGATAGAGGATCTCACACTGAACTGTGTTTAAGCATGCTTTAGGAGGAACCACCTCTTGTCAAGCAATCCAACTGCTTTGCTTTCTGACTGCCCTGACCTCAGCACGAGTTAACACTTCACCGGTTTGTTTCATCTGCAAAATTCTGTCACACCGACTTTATTGCCACATGACTGATGAAGATGTTGAACTCGTTGGGGTTAATACTGATCCCCAAGAAGCCATCCTGAAACACTCTCTTCAGTGGTTTTCCTTTGACAAGTGTGTTCTGAAATCTGCCAGCAAGACAGTTGCTGATCCAGGTTATGCATGTTCACTCATACCTTACAACAGTGATCTTATATGGGAATAATTCAAGTTATGTGAATTAGGTGAAGTCCCTGGTGACTGGAAAAAGGGAAACATTGCACCTTTTAAAAAGGGTAGAAAGGAGGACCCTCAGAACTGCTGACCTGTGAGCCTCACCCCTGTGCCTGGGAAGACCATGGAACAAATCCTCCTAGAAGATATGCCAAGGCACATGGAGGACAGGGAGGTGATTCCAGACAGCCAGCATGGCTTTGCCACGGGCAAGTCCTGCCTGACCAACCTAGGAGCCTTCTCTGATGGAATGTCTACATCAGTGGACAAGGGAAGAGGATGTCATCTATCTGGGCTCTTATACAGCCTTTGACATAGTCCCCCACAACACCACTCTTGCCAAACTGGAGAGATATGGATTTGATAGGTAGATTATTTGGTGAACAAGGAATTGGTTGGATGGTTGCATCCAGAGGGTAGTGGTCAATGGCTTGATTACCAGACGGAGATCAGTGACAAGTGGCATCCCTCAGGTGTACATGATGGGACCAGTACCATTTAATATCTTCATCAGTGACACAGATAGTGGGATCAAGTGTGTCCTCAACAAGTCTGCAGATGCCACCAAGCTGAATGGTGCTGTTGACACACATGAGGGATGAGATGCCATCCAGAGGGACCTGGACAAGCTCAAAAAGTGAGCCTATGTGAACCTTATGAGGTTCAACAAGGCCAAGTGCAAGGTCCTGCACCTGGGTTGGCACAATCTTTGGTATCAATACAGGCTAGAGGATTATGGGATTGAGAGTAGCCATGCAGAAAAGGACTTGGGGGTACTGGTGGATGAAAAGCTGAACATGAGCTGACAAGGGTTGCTTGCAGCCCAGAAGTCCAACCATATCCTGGGCTGCATCAAAAGAAGCATGGCCAGCAGGTCAAGGGAGGTGATTCTGCCCCTCTACTCAGCTCTGGTGAGACCCCACCTGGAGTACAGTGTCCAGCTCTGGAGTCCTCAGCACAAGAAAGACATGGACCTGTTGAAGACGGTCCAGAGGAGGGTCACAAGATAGAGATGGAGCACCTCTCCTGTGAAGAAAGGCTGTGGAAGTTGGGCTTGTTCAGCCTGGAGAAGACTCAGAAGACCTTACTGCATCCTTTCAGTCCTTACAGGGGACTTATAAGAAAGATGGAGACAAATATTTTAGCAGGGCCCACTGTAGCACAGGGGGTAATGGTTTTAAAATAAAACAGGGGAGATTTAGACTATATATAAGGAAGAAAGTTTTTTATGATGAGGGTGGTGAAACACTGGCACAGGTTGCCCAGAGAAGCGGTAAATGCCCCATCCCTGGAAAGACTCAAGGTCAGGGTGGACAGTGCTCTTAATAACCTGATCTAGTTGAAGATGTCCCTGCTCATTACAGGGAGGACCTTTAAAGGTCCCTTCCAACCCAAACTATTCTATGATTCAAGTCTTACGGAGTCTACAACTGTACAAATTCTACAGCTACCCTACCAACACCATTTGTAATCTCAGTGAAGGGCTGCATCAAGGACTTATGAATTAACAAAGGGGAAAAAAAAAAAAAAAAGACAATGCATTCAAAAAATCCTCAAAATAAAAAACACAAGAGGAAAACAAACCCCAAACCCAAATGCTGCATCTGCCAGTAAGTAACACTCTACCTTTAGGTTGTCTAAGTTTCCTCAGTTATCCAAGGCATGTTTTAGCCTAAGTTTCTGAGGTCTTCCTGGCTGTTGCTTTGTTCTTTGACAACTGTACAAACTGAATATTCTTCAAATTGCTTTTGAATACCACAAAATATATTACATAAGCTGAAAATTAGCATCAGATGAAAACCCGCCAGTCAGGGCTTTGAGGACCATTAAACACAAGGTATCCAGGCCTGCTGGTTGCAAACGTTTAGACAACACAAACTAGATGACTTATGTTCCCTGATGGCACCTCGCTCAGAAGGCTGCTGTGCCTCTTTCCACCCCACTAGCAGGTGCCCACTGTGCTTCACTAGCTTACTTGTGCTTTGGCTCGTGCCCTTGTCACAGCACATCCCAACTCACTTGGGAAGCACAGCTCTGCACTGCTCTCCCGCTGGCCGTAATCTGATGGACAGGAGGAAATTACAGCTGACTTTATCCCAATGGAATAAGGGGGAAGATAGGCCAAGACATTACTGGCAACTAGTCACTGCAACTCTTGCACTCCAGCAGAGACTTTCTTATAGACCCTCCCCAAGGAGCTGGAGAAAAGTGAAGCCTCTGCTAAGTGTGGAAGGAAGCATGAGCTCTATGGTCCAGTCCAGCATGAAGGGTATTTCAGTACCTGGAATTTGGTCCAGCAGCTGGGGCTGCAGAACTGGTAGACAACACGGTCTGTCTTGTTGTAATAGCAGGGTTCAGACAAACTCTTTCTGCAGAAGCTGCAGGGTCTAGAGGGACCTGATGAAACAGACAGGAATTGGTGAGGGCAGCAGCACAGGACTGGTTTCTGAGGATGACAAGAAAGCTACTCATTCATCCTGAGTCTGCCAAGGTATTATCAAAAGCAAAGGACAAGAACACCAGGAAACTAAGAGCACCAGATTCTGCTAGGACAGAAACATTAAACACGGATGGAAAGCAGAGTGGTTCAAAGAAGTGACCCTGGTTCTACAGGAATATGGACAAAACAGGCTACAATACTTGCACCAGAGACAATACCCATTCCTAGATAGCTGGTATTCCATGTAACGGAAGGGCAGTGACAGCACAGTACAGCACTACAGCTGCTTCCTGTATTCTCAAGAACAGCAACACACACTATCCCTCAGCATTAAGATGTCTATATGCTGCAAGTGTTCCTCCCTGTCCAAATCTCCTTCCACTTGTCTCAGTGGACTCTTCCCCAGGCAAACGACGTCTTCTTTTCAGTCTTGTCCACAAGCACTAAGTAGTACCAAGGAAGGAGTTAGAGTGGAGAGGTGATTGATTCCCTATACCTAGGTGCTCTTACCAACCAAGCCTGACTGCTTCACTTTGTGGGAGGTAGTGCAGCAAATGGAGCAGAACAGGCCCATCTTGCCATTGCGATCCACGTTGGGCAGCATATCGAAGTTCTTGCACAGTGTCTTGCACCACATGCATGGGTAGACCCGGGTGTTCTTCTGCAAACATAGAGCAGAGCAGAACTGCTAAGGACACCACCACAGCCAGCAAGGTCTGACCCTCACATTCCACCCCACTACCGAATCCCCCACAGGCAGCTCTCCTGCACAGAACACCTGACGCCAGAGACAGGTTTTGGTAGCAAAAAAAGTCTGCCTGTGGCACCTCACCTCTTCATTTCAAGGGTACCCTGGCAGGAACACAGGGCTTGGCAATCCCATCAAGACAGTTAAGTGAAATCTGTTCAGGCCACAGAGAAACATATCCATCCAAGCTTTGGGGAGACATCCAAAAGAAACCTGTCTGTGCTAACTGCATATGCTGGTTTCACTGCAGTCCAGCTTACTGAGTCCCTGAACTGTGCTCAAGTCCAAGACGGGCCTCACCCAGAATAAATAAATTCTGTTTGCCTGCTTAAAAGTTTCTTCACAGCAATGTCTTAAATGTTTTGTCAGTAATAAAATTCAAGGTGATTCAAGTCACCTGCTATTATAGAAAGTGCCCAGTGCCACACCAAGCAGAGCAGCTGTGTGCCCACAGGGACCTCCCCCAACACCAGGCTTCACACACCTTCTTGTAACTGTTGAGACAGGCAGAATTGCAGAACCGTTTTTGCTGGCCTTCATGGAAGAGGTACTCCAGGGGCAAGCCCTTGTTGTAGATGTAAAGTCCACAGTTGTCACAGCAGTTGGTTTTCAGCCCCTTGGTGGCCCGGAACTTGGTGAAACAGGCATCACTGCAGATGCGGTGAACCACACTTCCATTGCTGACCTCGTGCTGGATCTGCAGAGACACTGTTGCTGCTGTCTTCCCCCCAAACCACTACGTGTCTCCTACAGCATGTGCGCTCCGCTACTGCCAGGGCCCTTGGGATACCAGGCTGCTACACTAAAACTTGGGCAAGTGCCATACTGGAAGCTGGTGTGGACTCAGGCTGGCTTCCCTTGCCAAAAGTCAGCAGAGCAATTGGGAGAGCAGAGTGGCAGGAAGCAATGAGCTTCAGGGTAGGGAAAAGCAGAAGTCTTATTTCTTCTGCTGGAATAAGGACTGGTTCACAGTAACAGGGAAGTACCTGGGAGGGAGCCCAAGCCAGCTCAGGAGCTGGGCTGAGGTTTCACACCATGGGAGAACCTGGAAAATGCCCTGTAATGGTACCAGGCAGGGCCAAGCACTACAAGTCACAAGCACCTCAACCAGGACACAGGAAGGACAAGGGATTTGTTTACCTCGCCAGGTTTGTGGCAGACACTACAGCGGCTGATGTCTGAGGCATCTGCAGACTGAGGTGCTGGTCTGTGCTGCTGGGCTTCATAGAGGGAGAGGCAAACAGAGGTGCAGAATTCATGGAAAGATCCACCTGAACCAATCTGGGCAACCACAGAGTCCTTGGTGTTCCAGATCTCCCTGGGGATCAGGAGGGGATGTGTTAGCACAGTGACACACCAGTCCTGCCACAAAGGCACACTGCAGTGCACGCAACTTTCTTGTGTCCCAAAAGGGTGGAAGAAAACTGTATCAAGCAACTACTGTGCCTGAGGATGAAGCATGCTGGGGGTTGTTTTGAGAGGAGGCTGTGATATAGGGCATTGAGCATGGGGACAGGCAGAAAAAGGCAATAATGTGAATGGGGTGCAGGAAGACAGTGGTGATGTGAGTGAAGCAAAGTATGAGGCTCAGAGGGATGCCAACTGGCAGGTGGGGCTGTGGGGTAGGGGAATGGAGGCACAAGCATGGGAGCATTGAGAAGGGAATGAACACACACTTTTTACAGAAGGTGCATATCTTCTTGCCAGGCGGTTTTTTTGAGAAGGTGGTGAGACAGGAGCTGGAGCAGAAGAGTTGAGGGAGCCCTTTACGCTGGTAGGCAGTTTGGCCCTTCTGCAGTGGGGTTCGGCAGTTGGCACAAGTCATCTTGCTGACAGTAGAGCGGGCAGCTCGCTGCGCCATCTGGGTGCGTAAAGACATGCGGGTTGAGCGTCGGGTACGAAAAGGAACAAAATCCTCGTCATTGGGATCATCCACCATTGCATCAGAGTCCTCATCAGAGACTGGAACTGCAAAGCAGCACAGAAAGATGCACAGAAATCTGTCATTAGGAATACAGACAGAAACTTCTGCTATGAGGCACTTGCTGGGGCTTTCTGGGATCACCTTTCTGGATTCTAGGTACTTAACACCTTCTTTGCCTCAGTCTTCAATAGTCAGACCAGTTATCCTCATGGGATTCTGCCCCCTGAGTTGAAAGACAGGGACAGAGAGCA